TTGAGCAGATTAATGGGTGTGACAGGCTTTCTGCTCTGTGCAAATCTGCTGTCCTACAAGTCAAAAGTCTGATCTGGCACAGCTTTAAAAGAGTAGGCAAGAGAGGAAGGAGAAGCACAAAAAAAAGAGTTAAGTGCCAAAGGGAAGAGACTCGATCCAATGGAAATTCAAACTAGATAACAGTAAACCAGTGGGTCGGGTATTTTTATTGATAAGCCCAGAACTAGCTTATCTGTTCCAGTGTGGGTTTCTGGTCACCAATTTTGTCAACATAAAGTGCTTTGACAATAGAAACGAATTGAGAACCCCAGAAGTCATTGATCAAAATATCATTTAATCATATCAGGAGGTAGAAAAACAACATAAAAAAAGCTTCAAATATTAGAAATTTTAAAGGGCTGGGGCTCTGGTCTCTTGAAGATTATGTACAGGAGAGCGTCATTTAGACCAGTGCTTCTCCAAGGATGGTCTGAGATCATGTGGCATCAGCATCACTGGGCTGCTTGTTAGAATGCAAAGTCGGAAGGTCCAACCCTGATCTAAGGAATGAGAATCACTGGGGGTGGGGCTCGGCAGTCCATTTTAACAAGGTCTCTGGATGATTCTTTCATGCACTAACGTTTGCAAAGCACTGATTTAGACCACTGTTTGTCAAACTGCAGATTATAACCCATTAGCAGGTTATAAAATCAATTCAGCAGGCAGTGACCAGCATTTTACAAAAGTGAAATGGAATAGAATAGAAACTGGACTGCATCCCATGTAACATGGGTATGATCTCATAAAACTTTGTTCAGTTCTACGCACATGTACTATTTTGGATGAAGCAGCACTTTTAATTTTTGAAGAACTAGTCGGGTAGAATAATAAAGAAGCTACAAATTTTGAACGAAGTCAGAACTGTCTGGCTGATGGTAAAAGATGCTGACAGCTTAATGTGGATCCCTGTTTGGAGACAGACTGAGGAGGGAGGAAAGAGGGCCAAGGGAAGAACATACCAGGCCAAAGTTTCATAATTCCAGAATCCTTGAGGAGAAAGGAACCAAAAGGCCCACCCAGAGAGGAACCCGAAGGGGCATCTACTATAGGAGAGAAGTCAAGGAGGATAAGGTTATGTGTGACCTTCAAGAAACAATCACTTAAATTGGAATATTCATTTACTCCTTTTTCATTCATTCATAGATCGCTTATTGTATGGTCACAGGTGCCAGGCACTGTGTTAGATGCTGGGGGCACAGAGGTGAGGTCTGTCATGAATGGCACTGTTTAATGACAGCAGGAAGGAACAATAATAATAATACAACAGCAAGATCAGTGCTGGGTAGGGATTATTAACACAGCACTGAGTGGGAATACTGAATTAGCCTGTGATGATGGGGTTAAGAGTGGGATGACGGGGGACATCCATATGGAGAGGGCATTTAATCAGAATGATGACCACATCTTAACATGATATTCTATTTTGAAACTAACCAGTGATTAAAGCGGTGGTACTCAAACATTAGTGTGTCTCAGAATCTCTTCAAGGGCTTGTCCAAGCACTTTTTGATTTAGTAGATCTGAGGTAGGGGTGGGGTCCTGAAAATCTGCCTTTCTGACAAGTTCCAAGTTGATGCAGATACTTTTGATCTGGGCACTACACTTGAAGTGTCACCGATGTAAATGATTGAATTAAGTTATACTGATGGTGTTTCTAAATAAGCTATTTCAAGCAGATGGAATTTAGCTGATTCACCCAAACACAAAAAATTTTTCTTTACAGCATTTTTGATGGTTTAATAACAATAACTGCCACTTGAAATTTTTCATATAAATTAATTTTTATTGAAAAATGTTTTAATAAGATTTAATATTTAACTTAGATATTTGACAGCCAGACAATTGTTCTTGTAACAAAGACACAGGCTATTTTCTTCTCTTCCTGGACACACACATAAAACCATATTTTCTGACCCTTTTGCAGGTAGTTAGACCATGTGACTGATTTTTGCCAACATGGATAGTGGGCGGAGGGAGGCAAATGTTCCTTGTTCTCTTTGTGAATTGCCTTTTTGAGTTATTTTTGAACCTCAAAGCTCAAGTTCTACATGACCAAACCCGAGTTTGTGTTGATTTTCTTGTATGTTTCCATCTGGAAATCTGACACTATAAGATATAGGATTTTTTTCCTAGGTAAGAATAAATGTTAAGCACTTTTCAAGTATAATTAATGTCTGGGTAAAATGATTTAAGAATATAAGTTTGGATGTAATGAAGCAACATATAACCAAATCTTGAATATAAGAGTCATTGAGTTAAATCTTCCCATTTATTAGTTTTAACTAGTGATGGGGTTTGCTCCATATTATAGTTATCTAAGCTTTTAAAATGTATAATGTATAATGATGTATAAAACTTTATATATGATAAATGCATAATGATGAGTGTGAAACTCTTTAAGTGTTTTACTCCTTTTTTAAAATAACCATTTGTTACTTTTCTCTATTAACAGTAAGTTCTTAGTGTATTAGTAACAAACTCCTGCTGATCCAGAGTTTTACATTGAAGGACTCATTCAATAAAAGTTAAATCAGATCAAATCACCAAATTACATTCTTAAATTAGAGCCTGTTACCTGGTAACCACTTTGGCTTTTTAAACTTTCTTTGTTTACCATGTAAACCTTGGTTTCAGTTGGCTCATACACGAGATGAAAGAATTTTTTATTTGAATTGAGTAGCTTTGTATACACACACACACACACAATGCATATATGACTATACATTTATTCTTCACTTGTTTAAAAACTTGATTCTCATACTTCACAGTAAAAATCATTACATAAATGGCTCATTACAAATACGGAAAAAAGACAACGTATTTCTACAGTTTGTACAAAAAAACACCATTTGCTGTCATTTTCACACACAGGACATTTTAGGCATTTTTAAAAATGGGAGAATCAGAGCAGCTGTCCACTGGATATGGAGACCATGCTTTACTACCAAGATACCACATTACAGGTAGGAATGGACTGAGGAGAATTTTATTGCCATTTCAGATAAATTACAGGATTTTAAAACAGCAGGTGCCCTAGGGATTTGATACAAACTTCTCAGGTAAGGAAACTAAAGTCCAAAAAAGTGAAATACTTCGCTTATTACACGTAATTTAGTTTTGGTGCCAGACCTTGACCCAAGGTCTTCTGAATCGGGTACAGCTTTCTCTACGCCACAGTTTTTGCCCTACACCTGAAGATCAGGCTGGTTTATCTTTAGTTGTTCCAACTCTGTGCTCTCTCTACAGTTGGAGTGTTTGATGGGATAGCTCTAACTCAGATCCAGCTGGCTTCCGCCTTCTCGGTTATTTCTTTTGTTTTCACTGTTTTCAATCTTTTATCTTCACCATTGGTGAACTTCTGTTTTGTTTTTTTTTTTAAGACACACTCGGAGGAACACCAAGGAAGAAGCTGACACCCACCCAAACTGAATGTGGGTCGGGACACAAGACAGAGCCATTCCTAGCCCTGCCGGAAACAGGTGAAGGAGACCCGCAGTCAGGACCAGCGTCCGAGGGCCACGTGCGGGAGGAGGGGCCGCTTTCTGGTTGGCGCCCAGAGGGGCTAGGTCTCTCCAATCGGCGTAGGCCTCGCGGTAGAGGCGGGGGCGCGCCCTGCACGGGAGGGCGGGCCAGCGACCTGTCCATCACCGATGCGGGTGGCAACACCTACCACACCAAGGAACCTAGACGAGACCCTGCCGGAGCGGGAAGACCGCGGCGGGGGGCGGGGCCAGGCTGGCGAGAGCCAATCCGTCGGGCGGCGCCAGGGGGCGAGGGCGGGGTGACCGCGCGAGACCCAAACACACGGGTCCGAGCGCACCGCGAAGCCGCGCTGCTCCTCCGCCTTCCGTTGCGACGGCCGGAGAACCTCCCCCCGTCCCTGGGCAACCCCACCTTTGTGGCCTAGACCCTCCCCCCCGCCGCCCCTCCTTCGCCGTGGGGAGCGCGGTGACGGTTGCTGGGAAGCGCGCGCTGCCCCTCCCTCCCCCCCGCGTCCTCCCCTCACGCGCCACCCGTTTTTCCTCTTTCTCCGTTAATAACAGCTGGGTGGCTGGGGGAGGAGGGAAGGTGGCCCCGGCGGAGTCTGGGCGGGCGCCTCCCACTCACCCGCGAGCCGCCGTGTGATACCTTCTTGAACGAGAACTTATTCTGGTGACCACTTTAGCCTTTGAAAAATTTTCTCTGCTTACCAAGTGAACAATGGTTTCAGTAAGCTCATACATAAGATGACAGAATTTTA